CTTGCAGTCATTCAGTCAACTGTGAACTACTTGTATAACAAATTATTCTAGAATCAAATATGAAGCCAGCTTGGCTGAAATTGGATCATATCGCAGCAAAAATTTCTGGCACAGCTTTACCTACTTCCATGGTGCATGGAGAGGATGAAAAACTCACAACGCAGGAACTCTAACAACTCTTAGAATGAAAGAGGAACAACTTTATTAACTGACCAACTCGTTTCAGCTTCTGGCCTTCATCAGGGTCATACACAAAGTACAATTTGTGTGTAAATAAAAGACAAGAAACAGAAAAAAATTTAATTAACCAATCACACCTTCATAGATAAACCAGCTGACATATAACAGGTTGCTATTGGTTAATAGGTTAATAGGTTAAGTGACGCCCAAGTAAAACTGGACTAGACAGTTAACGATAAAGACAGGGGGGAGGAACCATAATCCCCGCCTGTCTTAAAATAATACATGCGAGAAATACATAAGAAGAAAAAATATTAGAAATATACAGAAAAATAATAAAATGATTACAAAAGAAAACATTTAATTAAAAAAGAAGTCGGTGCAGCAGTTTGATTAAAAAAGAAGAAGACACCATAAATTGGATCACACAAAATTCCAGAGTTTAACCTGACTGAAATGGTGTCGTGTGACCTGAAGAGAGCTGTGCATGAAAAAGGTCCACAAACCTCAATGAACTGTAGGCCAAAATTCCTCTATAACAAAGTGAAAGACTTACAGAAAATGATTCATTTAAGTTACTGCTATCTAAGAGTTATAGGTTATAGGTATAGGTTGCTGATTTATTAGATGTGCTTAGATTTTCACAGTACTGAATAGACTCCTATGAAAACCTTTCTTTTTCATATGGCTCTAAATGTCATTCTTCAATCTGAGTTCCTTCTGTTTCTGTTTTTTGTTTGGTTTTTTTTGTTCATTTTATGGATAATTTGGTTAAAATTTAGTGAGTTTGAGTAACATCCCACTTTTACAATACAAATGTGCATACATTCCTCTGTGTACTGCACATTCTCTTACTTCCCTTTGAAGGCAACAAACAGAGACACCTTTGTCCTTTAATATCCGGTGTGGTCTGACACGCAGCCATGTGTAAACTCAAAAAACCCTTTAATTCGGTGATTCATAGGCCTCCTCAGCCGTTCCTTGCGACAGGCACCAGTCGGCTGCAGCTGTTAATGTCTTTGAGCGAGAATTTATGTCCGCAGCCATGCCTCTCTCCTCCTGTCTCCTACTCAACCCATTTGAGGATTCCCCACCAAAGGTTCAGTGCATCCTTGCATCAGAGCCACATTAATGAAAGGCATTATACATTACAAAGTGTTTGATTTAAGAATGATTTAGAGTCCTTTCCCTCAGCCGTGAGGAATGGAAAGCTTCCTAGAGATAAGCTCAGAATCCATCCGCAATATTCAAAGGACATCAAAGGGTTCAAAATGTGTATTGGATTCATCGGCGGTGTAGGAACCACAAAGAAAGGTTTCTATCAGATGTGAGATTTCCATAACAGAGTGAGAGGCATGTGAGTTATTATGATCCCAGGATCAGTGGCAGCTTTGGCGATATGCAGCCGAGCATGCATACGCTGCATGTTTAGGTGCTCAATTGTTGATTTTGCCTGTCACTGATCTGCCACTGACACAAACATCACTTCTGTCTGTATATACAGATATCCCAAATGTTCTTGAGAACTAGAGCAGATAACCTTTTTGCATTTCTGCTCCCCATATAAATTCCCCTTGCACTGCAAAACTAAACAGCAAACAGAGACACTTTTTTAAATACTTGCTGATGCAAATATTTTAATTTTAAGAAATAAAAATAAAACATTCATGGTATTTCACCCCGCCTGCCAGTTTTAATAATTGGCAGGATGTTGCTTACCACCTACACAAATCCCTAATACCTGACAGCTTGTAACCAGCAGCATTTAATCACAGCTGACAACTGATAATCCATGTCTCGGCACTGATGGATCATTGGGGTTGTTTTTATTTTTTTCTACTTCCTCACTCTTTTAATTTTTTCATCTTATTTTGCTTTTTCAACTCAGAGCTGTTTGGGGCTGGGAGATGTGATAATTTAGTGTGAATTGCTTCTAAGGATCTCTTGGATCCTGTCCACGGGTGTGAGTTGTCACAGGGTTGAGTTTCTCGATTGCCTACAAAGGATTCGGGAGGCTTGATCTAAATTTATAAGGACACTGCGGCAGTAACACCCACTTTGATGGCCGTTGTGGTGGCTATCATTTGTCGTCCATATGGCGTCTCGGCGTTTGATGTGCTTCTCATGTACAGCGTGTACTGTGAGAGATTTTTGCTTGTTTTTTGTTTGTTTTATTGTCTTTCTGCTACTAGATGCTGAAATTAAAGCCTTGTCTTTTTGCTTTGATTTTTTTTTTTTAGCGGGGGGGCTATAACAAGAAATTGATTTTCAGATAACACGTTTGTATGAATAAAAAAAAACAAAACCAAAAAAAAAATCATTACAGCATGTGCTAGTGGGTGTAAATAAATTGTAATCTGATTTCCTGCATTATTTATAGTTTTCGACAGTCGTCTATAATAGAAGGAGCAAGATTCGGTTTAGTTTGAGGTTCAGAGGCAAAAAAAGTAAACTGAAACAAACTGTATTCACTTTTAACCCACAGATGTGAATGCTTCTCTTGGATTGCCTCAAGCAACATCAGTTTTCATCATGAGTTATTTTCATGCTCGTAATAATGAAGTGGGAATGCTTGGCTGGATGGATTTATTTTGAAGAGCATCAGTAATACAACAGTTCAGTGCGCTGACCTAATATTGTCTTCATTTTTTAATGCGGTGGCCAAGGTCAGGTCAGATAGATAATATAATAAGAGGGATGTGTGTATTAGAGTTGGTCAGTCGTATCTGTATATTTCCTTTCATCATATTGTCATTACCAGATATCACTGATACACAGTCTGACAGCGGAGGGAGATTTTGACTTTTAGCTATGAATACAGCCAATTTTACGACACGGTTGCTCTTCATACCTTGCAATTTCTCTTTATTAAACACTTGATAAACCCTAAATAGTAGATGAATACTTTATTAACTAAAGCAGAAACCTCTCCCATAGCCAGACACGGGTACATAGAGGAAAAGCTTCCTTCCTCTACAGCTTCGCATATTGCACTTATCAATATTGGCAAATGGAAATAATGATCATCCTCAAAGTGAGTTGAAAAGTTGGTTGAACAAAACTTGTAACCTGCATTTGAGAGCAAAAAATAATCCCTAAATTTTAAGATGCACAGTAGTTTGCAGAACCAGACAACACAGTAACAGGATGTGTTGAAATATCCCATGGCGGAAGTGCGTTAACTAAAATTTAATGTCAATTTTTCCCATAGTTAAAGCCCACAATCTATGTCAATCCAATGGACCAAAGGACCACATGCATTTGCAACAGTATGACTTTAAACTGGTTTTAAATGAATATACATATCTTGCAATACAGAGTTAAAAGAAGAGTCTTTCACAGATGGTTACCACTGAAATTTAAGAAACTGCGATTTTTGATGAAACATCGAATGTCAAGATTTATTGTAATATGCAGTGATAAAATAATGTAGGAAGTATTGTATTTTTAGTCCTTAAAGATTATATCATAGAGAATCCTCTTCAAAGAATATATTTTTATTTTATGCATAGACGTGTGCCTTTGGATTACTTAAATTTTTGAGTCTGGCTTTGTCATATAAATCTTTCGATTAGTATAATTGAGAAATATCTTTCCGCTCTGATAAACTTACTCTTAGCACTTCTTTACATTACAGCTTGATAATAACAGTAATAGTCATAGGTATTAGTGGGGCAATGAGTTTTAAAGGAAAGTGCTACCAACACACTTTCATAGTTAAAGTACATAGTATGGGGTAAATGGTAAATGGCCTGTATTTATGTAGCGCTTTACTAGTCCCTAAGGACCCCAAAGTGCTTTACATATCCAGTCATCCACACACACATTGACACACTGGTGATGGCAGCTACATTGTAGCCACAGCCACCCTGGGGCGCACTGACAGAGGCGAGGCTGCCGGACACTGGCGACACCGGGCCCTCTGACCACCACCAGTAGGCAACGGGTGAAGCGTCTTGCCCAAGGACACAACGACCGAGACTGTCCAAGCCGGGGCTCAAACCGGCAACCTTCCAATTACAAGGCAAACGCCCAACTCTTGAGCCACAGTCGCCCCAACTAAGTACATCCTTAGTTGATTAACTGTGAGCACCTCTATAAAAGCAGATGTTTTTCCTGGTCTGGACAATGCATAGTACATTATTATTACTTTCATAAAAAGCATTATATTTTGGTTTTTGCCATTACTTTACTTGGATATCTCTACTGTCAGACAGCGATCCACTTTTACTGTGATTTGCCATCTCTACAGTTAAGGCCATGTGGTTAGTTGACACTTGGAAATAGCATTTTCTTTCCTTTGTAGAATCATCAAAGGGTTAAAATTGAACACACTAAATGTGTTGTGGTCTCTACACTGACTGCAAAACTAATCTCTGGACAATGTTTTGCTGAGAGAAATCACTTCCCCAAAGAAAACACTTCATCCCTAAGAGGTTGCCAAGCTCTTGCCAAATAAGCACTTACTGTACTTCAAGAGATAAATGACACAAAACCACAGCCAAACATTATAAAACAAATCCTTTCCATCAATCAGAATCAAGTTGGTTTTCTCCAGTTCACTCACACTGTTGCCTGGCCTTTTAAACAAGATTTATGCCTCCGTGTACATAAATTTATGACAGAGTGAAAAGTGATGCATATACAAAAGCCTTGATGACAATGCTTTCCTCAAGTTGAGGGAGATTGTGAGCTTACTAACTGCAAACCCACATTAAGCATTTTACACCGTGATTAACGCCTATTTAGCCCGAGAGATCAGATAAAACTCAGCAAGCTAACTGATGCCGAATGTCTTTTTGTGTTAACATTCTCCTCAGGTGATCCAGACAATCAGCGCAGTGGATAAGGATGAACCTTTGAGTGGTCATCGCTTTTATTTCGCCCTGGCAGGACCTGCTGCTGGTAACCTTAACTTCACTCTGCGAGATAATAAGGGTGAGACAACCTTTTGTGGTATTCTTTGATGTTATCTTCAAGCTCATATGATTTTACTGTTTTCCTGTGTGTGTGCATGTCATTGTTTGTCTATACTTCTATACTGAAGTGTAGAGAATTATTTAAAAAAACCCACTGATGTTTGTTTCCCCTAAAAATGTTTTAGAGGGTATTAAAAAGCTTTAAAGTTATATAAAGTAGAATTTATAGTTGAAAAATGTTGCCAACAAAAGGATCTAAGGTTTTTAAAATGATGCTAAAGGAGGCAGATCAGTTCTTTTATGTGGATGATCTATTGCTATCTTACAAAAAAGCATTTTTGAGATTTCATATTTTAACTGATCTATTTTTTATATCATGATTGGTCTCTTTCTGCATTTTTATGCATTGCAGAATTTCCCAGTCCATAGTCGAACACTAAAAATTATATTTGATTCTATAAAATGCAGCATGTGGATAACCTTTAATTTATTGACTTGTGTCAAACATCATTTTTCTGGTCTAATTCTACCGAAGAAGAAATTACATAAAAGTCATGCGGTGAGTTAGACAATGCAGCATATAATAGCAATAGATAAATACTTGGGGAAAAAAATAGTCAATATAACCTGGGTCCTGGAGAAAATTCTGACCCAGATGAAGGCCCTAGCATGAGTAGTGGTCAGAAGCGAACCAATTCCGCTATAATTCGTGCACAGGGGAAAATTATCAAAATGCTTTTTGTGATATTTTTGTTTGGTGGTGTGCTGTGTGATTTTTCAAATGTGAAATATGTGCTGTGGCTCCAAAAGGTTGGGAAACACTTCTCTAAAAGATACCAACACCACAAACATTGAGTGATATTGAGTTCAGCGACTCGCATTAGCTCAGATGAAGCCTAATGTTGAATGAACAGCTGGTGGCCTAGCCTTATTTTTATATGCTGATGAGAAATTAAAAAAATAGTTTGTACATATATATTGGTAGTCGATACTTGTGTAAAAGCGAATACATGTTATTTGGAAGAACTCAGTCAGAGGTTTAAACTGCTTCTACATTACTGTCAGAGTTCAGTCAGATTAGCTTTATTTCATGGAGATACATTTTTAAAACAATCCCTTGAGATAATTGCTACTGGCCTTTAAGAGTCTGTAAAAGGTGTTGCTCAAGTTAGGTATGGTCTGTTTGTTGTTTATTCCTTCCAACTGAGCCTGGCAGCAATGCAATTGACACTTTAGTCATTGCTCACTCAGCTCCCTATATCTGCCCTGTATCTGGCTATAATACACTCTGCAATCTGACTCAGGGAAAAAAATAGTACAGAGTAACTGGTGGCCCCCGGCATGCCCAGCACTGCCAAATGAAACCATTATTCTGCCGTGACAATGCCCCCTCTACTTTTTTTTCTTGGTAATTGTTCATCAAAACGAAATCCAGAAACAAACTTCCTCTGTAACTGGAGCACATCCGAGTGAGAACTCAGTCTTGCTATAACTTTGTTCAACTTAGTGTGAGGTGTCTATGTGTCGGATCAAGGAATAACTTTAAATCAAACACACAAGGTGAAAACTGTCTTTGTGTCATAATGATTTGTTATCCACCTACAAGCAAAACAGTGGGTGGATGTAGAAAATTAGTTGTTCTTATAGAAAAGCCTAAGTGGTAATTTGCATATATTTTTAAAGATGTGAGAACTGTGTCTGACTCCATCATTACTTACTTACATGAATTCCCACTGCTTTGAAAAACATAGCATGTGCTGAGCTGATGTGCATTCTGAGGTGATGGCCCTTTGTCGAGTGTTTTGCTCACATGTGTGGGAGCTCGGCTCAGGCAGCAATGTTAGTTTGTATAAAGAACAGCAGCAGCAACCAGGTTGTGCCACAGTAATCCTTCTGAGTGCAGACATGTGTTACATCATGTACTTGTTGTTTTAGTAACACCTTAGCAGACTAAGGACAGCTTGAATAGAAAAAGGTTCTCTGAGGAGATATTCTATTAACCTCTTATTCAGTATGTTGAGTATACTGAATGAACTGTATGGACACATTTACAAATGTTGCAACAACAACATAGTATGTTCAGTGGTGTCCAGTGTAATGTGTTATAGCATGTTAATATGTGTTTTTTCCATGGTACCCAAATGACTCTTAATGAATTCTGTATGAGCTTTAATGATTTAGTACGTCATAACGAAGGAAATGCAAATCAATGGAAATTAAACAAAGAAAACACAATAATCAATGCAAGGAAATGTTATTTTGTTTGCGCAGTTATACAATTTAAGGTCTGTTTAAATACATTTTTAAAGAAGCAACCTTAAAAAAATAATACCCTTTTTTTCAGTTTAATTCACAAATGTAAAACTGATTAAAATTTGAATATCTTTTCAGAATCAGAGAAACTTTATTAGTCCCAGAGGGAAATTGAGTTGTCATAGCAGCAAATATATAAAAAAAACAACAAGCGCTCATATCGAAACGGAGTTATGATAGATACTAGGGGTGCAACGATACACAAAATTCACGGTTCGGTTCGGTTCGATACTTTGGTGTCACGGTTCGATATTTTTTCAATACTAAAAAAATGTTCATGCCTTTTTAATTTCTCATATATTAAAATTATAAATATATATTTTAACTCAAAAGTACAGTTTTTAAATTTTATGTTGATGTTGAAACAACAAAGTAATAAAAAAATTAATCTATCTGATCGAGAAATCACTCATCTTTGGAAAAGAGAGTTTATTACAGAGAAATGGCTCTTTCCAAAATAAAAGCTATATTATACGCTTGGGGCAGTGGTTCTTAACCTGGGTTCGATCGAGGTCCCCATAAGGAGAATCATGTGCTAACGGCTGTCTAAATGACTCGGGTAAAGTTTGTAGCATCTGTGCTTGTTGTTTTTGTCTGCTTCCACTTGTCTTTGCACTAGGATGATCTCGGCGTAAATGTGCAGTCATATTCGTTGTGTTCCCACTAGTGCTGTCAGCGTTAATCTTGTTGAAGTGACGTTAACGCCACAACACGACAAATCTCCGTTAACGAGTTACCGCGGATTGCCCCGTGCATGGGGCTGGACGGCGTCAACACGTTAACGAGCAAACTGTGCTAACGGACTAGTTCCCACCCATGTAATTGAGCATTGCGTGGCACATCGGACATATTGTTTTACTTTTGTCCATGACGCGCTTACCTTTAGGGTCATACTTCACATGAAAACTAAAATAGTTCCAAACGCCACATCTGAATGAGGGTGGGGAAGGTTCAATTTGCCATGTTGCAACAAGAGCTTAACTTCTGTCTTGCTAGCTTACACTGCGGTCAGTGAATCTGCGTTCGTCTACTCCGCCTAGGCTGCACTGTCGAGCGCAGATCCACTGAGCGCTCAACACAGACAGCATGGTCAGGAGAAAAGTTGATACAATAAATTTAAAAATTTGTATTGTTCGATACATATGCGTACCGAACCGAAAGCACTGTATCGAACGGTTCAATATCGATACGAGTATTGTTGCACCCCTAATAGATACATATTAGGATAAATAGATTAATATAGAGCTATAGGTATAAAGAAAAATATACATATAAATATAAAAGTACAAGTATGTGTGTAAATATGTCGTGGTGTACAAAAGTGACAGGGTGCATTGAGGTGTGATTAATACTGTTCTACATGTGTGGATCTGACCCAAGTGGATGAATTAAAGAGCCTGATAGCAGCAGGAAGGAACAACTTGCTGTAACGTTCCCCCAGACAGCAAGTTTGAAGGAACCTGTCGCTGAAACTGCTCTTCAGATTGTATAGTGTGTTATGGAGGGGGTGGGAGTTATTGTCCATGATTGCCAGAATCCTGTCACTGATCACCTCCTCCAGGATGGTGAGCTTCATGCCAACAGCAAACTCAGCCTTCCTGATGAGTTTGTTCAGTCTGTTTGCGTCCTTTGCTTTTGATGCATGCACCCCAGCATGCCACAGCAAAGGAGATGGGGCTCACAACAAAAGACTGATAGTACATATAGAGCAGCCTGCTGCATACATTGAAGGATCTGAGCCTTTGTAGAAATTAAAGCACCACCAGCTTCTTTGTTTTGGCCACATTCAGCTGCAGGTGGTTTACCTCACACCACCTCACCTCACACCACCTCACGAAGCAATCAATTTGTCTACCTACTGTCAAGATGGCCAAAATAAAAAAATAAAATAAAATAAAGTTTTGTAGCCTAAGAGATGAAAGACGAACTTTCAGTTATGAGTCTTTGATGCTTATTAACAAAATATTTCTGGGATTAGTTTCTTTTGAACTTAAAAAAGTTCAGAAGTAACTAATGATAGCATGTCATGCTCAAGATGCTTTATATTGACCCTACAGCGAAAACCCCTGCAATCAAACGAACCCCTATGAGCAAGAATTTGGTAACAGTGGGAACGAAAAACGCTATTTTAACAGGAAGAAACCTCAGGCAGAATCAGGCAGCCATCTGCTGCGACCAGTTGGGGGTAAGGAGAGTTAGACAGGGCAAAAGACAAAAAACTCATAAAGACCTCTAAATCTAAACTAAAGTGGTAACTGGTTCCTTCTACAATGGATGGAAAGTTAGAGAACAACAGCACTACTGGTTAATAAAATGTAATTAAAAGTGGGCCAAACATGTTCATGAATATGACTGAAGTAAGCTGAGCAGCAGTCTTCTCCAGTGGGTGTGTTGAATCAGCAGATAAAATAAAATTTGTGATATGTAAAGATCAGTTGCTGCCTGATGTTTTATTAACTATTTCTTTCAAACATGTTTCATATGTGCAGCCAATGCAATAGTTGACTTGTCCGCTGATTAAAGCCCACATACCTGTGGTTAGCTGCAAGCTATTTTGGCTCAGTTCTAACTCTACGTATTAAAGGCGCAAGATATCAGTGATTTTTTTACTAAAAGGAAACATGACAAATAACACTGTTGTGGAATTTCGGGTAATAGATCACTAGAACTTCCAGTTCTAACAGGAAGTACCTTTACAAGTAGTTTATCAGTTGTACGATCAATGTGTGTTATTGCTGTCAAACACTAAAAGACTAAAATATGAGTTGAAAAAGACATTTTGCACTTGTTTCTTAGTCTTTTGGTTCTAGTGTTCAGGTGTGCCAAGTACAATGCTCAGGGATATGGAAAAGATCCTGTCATTTTTCAACATGTCAGTTTCCCAGCGCACAAAACCAGTTTCATAAAGAGATGGTTTTTCCAGCATGTTGTGGAGGATCCTGACCGGCTTGCACCAAGCCCTAACCCCATCCAACACCTTACTAGAGCGCAGACTGCAAATCAACACTGGTCAAAATCAGACTGTACTCATGTTTACTTATCTATTTATTTATTCATGACTGAATGGCACCAAATGCCTGTAGTTAGCTTCCAAAATCTAGGAGTGGAGACTGTTGTAGCAGCATGTTTAATGATCAGGGGTGGGACAGCATGTTCAGTAATCAAATACTGGCATAACATTTGCACTTTATTCATATGTGTTTTCCACCTTCCTGCGCACAGATGTCCCTTGAGGACAAATACCAGGCACAGCCACATGTTTCACATTTAGCAGCAGAACATATTTATTCAGCGTTTTAAGTGTGCAACCCATCTCAGTTGTTACTAACCAGCTGTGTGTTTTTTATTCATCCACGAGGAAACTTTTCTCCCCTGATTTTACTAATGTCACATTTGCAAGAGAACTCCTCGGTATTTTCATTTTCTCCTTGTTCTTGGGCTTCTGAAAGCAATCTGAATATCCCCCAGACAAACAATGGAGTTGTCCTTCAAGGCAAAAATCTACATTTCAATCATGCACTGCTAAAATTTGAAAGTGCATTTCAGTCTATTGATATAGCTGACATGAAATGGCTTTTTTTCAGCTGATGTAATGGCACATTGTTCTCTTCTAGCCGCCTCTTTCTCTTTCATGTGCTGCGATTTCATATAAGATTTTACCATCAAACCAAAGTTGTTATTAGCCAACAGGTGGTCAGAGCAGGGAGAGATGCCACAGCGTGTCATATAATGAATTGTGTTAATGACACCATCTGTTGGCATTGCTGCTTTTAATACTGTAAAATCATTTCAAACTGCACAACCAAAGCACAGCAATCATTATAAGATAGAAGTTAAGCCCCTGCTAGTCACATATTTGCAGTTCATTGTTCATTTGAAGCCAATAAACTTGATATGCAGATTAAATAAAGCTTCCCATGTCTTCTCTTACAAGTGATATGATGCTTTCATGCTTTAACTCTACTTTGCAGACAACACAGCATCCATATTGACAAAGCGAGGTGGCTTCAGGAGACGGGAGCAGCCTGTGTATCGACTCCCTGTGTTGATTGTGGACAGTGGAAGTCCTGCTCTCAGCAGCACAAATACACTCTCAGTTCGAGTGTGTGACTGTGACTCTGACGGAGTGGCCTTGTCTTGTGGAGCTGTGGCCTATACAGCAACCGGCCTCAGCACAGGTGCCCTCCTGGCTATTCTGGGCTGCATCATCACACTTCTGGGTAAGCCCTATATGACCTTAGTGTCACGGAAGTCCAGTTAACAGCAGCTTGTGTGGATATGTGTGGGTGTGTGTGTTTGTTTGTTTCTTCTTCTTTTTTTTTGGTGGCTCATGGGATTGGTTGGACAGCCCAGAGTGGACCGTCTTTATTGCAGGGGTGAAAGACGCTGTACTTCTACAACCTGGGTTATTTTTTTTGTTTGCTTTGGATTGTTTTTTTCTGTTTGGGGGGGTTGGGGGGCATGCAATTTTGGATATATTAAAACATTTTACACTAACTTGACAGTCAAATCACCTAACTGCACAACCATATCGCTATTTGTGTTGAAATTTCGTTTGAAATCTTTGGACGTTCTGACTCTGACTCAATAACAGATTCTATGCAATTGCCAATTTTACCCCATTCAGTTAGAAACTCAGTCTGACTCTGTTTTGTTACTATCTTATTACCTTAAGTTGCTTTGAAGACGGCAACTGACCGTAGAGTGGTTGCAGACCCATTCCCTATTTTTGAACTAACCATTTCAGAGGCAACGCTGTCACTAGCAGCGCTGCAATAATTCTAGTCGTGCTGCTGGTCTTCAACTTCCCTAATGTGGCTATAGCACTAGCAGCTAAAGATTTTGTACAATAACTCGCACCATTGCTCACTGACCTACTTTAGCAAGTGCTTCATGCCCTCGGATTTCTCCAATTAAGAACCAATCATACAAAAATGACCTCAGCTCTTTATGAGAACTTAAAATTAAAGCCAAATCGATACTAATGCAATTACGGGCAGATGGGTAGATGGGTGCAGCATGCAGCACAGCAGAAAATCATACAGGAAATGCTAAAACTCTGTCCAAAAGCAGATCTCTAGACAGCCTCAGCGACTAATGGCTACTGATGTTGCACAAACAATGACTGAACAGAGCCAAGACATCGGCTGTCATTGTAGAGTTTACCACGAGCAGCTAATATTTAACTTGGTGAAGTGAAGCAGTTATACCCTGAATCTCAACAAAGAACAGCGGTCCCTGAGCTGTAAACTTCAGCTTGAATTGTGTGTTTGTTGCCAAGCTGCTTCGCCCTAATTGCAAATATGACGAATGACAAACAAGCCAAATCAGTGAATGCAAGAAAACAGCAGAAGAAAGCGCGATAAAAACATTGTTATGGCTCCACACGGGCGTCTTGAGTTCTCCTTATAAGATTGTTTGTATCTGAGTACTACTGCAGCCTATTCATCAACTAATTCTTTGGTCTATAATAATACATAAAATGTGTGAAAACCCAGTAAGCAAATAAGCATGAAGAAGCAGCAGCACTATAACATGTATATGAGTGTGATCTGATAATGTTATAGCCTGTGAGATTACATCAGTAAAACGGCTTGCAAGGCTATATAGTGTCATTTCTTTCACTAACATCTCTTGAGCATCTTTTTCTCAGCATCACAAGAGCACAAAGAACTTACATGTACCTACACACGCACACATTATACCTGTCAAACTCTGCTATCTTTGGCATTTTTGGTAGACTCACTGTAGCAAATTACTGCTTTTGCAACAAGCTGCCTAAAGACCCAATTTAAAAAGGTGACTGTTATATGTAGACACGACACTGGTTCCTCCTTTGAGTTAGATGCTCTTTTTTATGCTTGGCTTTTATAATGACTGGACTCTAAATAAATGAAAAAAGCAGCGATTGTCCAAAGAAGAACTTTGAAAGACTTAAAGAAAGCCTGGAAAAGTATTGCTCAAGACCACCAAAAATTGCTAAAAAGCCTGGCTGCTTGTAAGTAAAATAAACCCTCCCCCACCTCTGACCTTGTCAACTCCTATGATAATTAAGCCCCTTAGCAAATCAAGAGTAGGCAGGAAGCTGAGAGTTTCTGTAGACTTAAGCATTTCTTCCTAGTTGTCTGGCTGAACAGCATACAAGCTTAGCTCCATTTGTCTGTTAAGTTGCAGTGGGGATATACTTAAGCTAACTTTAAACCTTGCAGTTCAGGAGTAAGTACAGAATTAAGTGTCGGTAATGTAGCTTTACAGTCGTGCACTATGTGAGAACCACAGCTCACCTCAGCATCTACAGCGCATTTAGACCGTGCTTGTTATGCATTCTCCAGGCAGCTGAGTGTGCAAGAGATTTCTTGCTAAAATAGAGTTGCATCTTCAGGTCTTGCAGAGGTCAAACCTGGGGGAGATAGCTGCCTCTCATATTTGCTCTTTGGTAAATACACGTGACCTCAGTCGGTCAGCCCTGGATGTTTACAAGTGAAATACAACTGAAATCATGCCAACAGGATCAGTTGGCTAGAGTTAGTGTAATGGTTTTTGTGCTCATCTTGTGGTAAAATTCTTCATGTCATTTTTTTTACTAAAGTAAGTCAAGAACAGATAAAAGATCACCTTGATTTACTTTGTCTGACTTTCACGAAATAGGATTAATTTGCTAAAAAAAACTTACTTAAACATTTGTTTAAAAAGATTTAATTGTTATAGTCTTTATTGTTAATAAATGCATATATTGTACCAAGTACCAAGGGCTCAGAGAAGAGCTCATAAAGATGTGGAGGGTGAAGGTAACAGTGGTCCCAGCAGAGCACTTGATGCAGTGACCCCCAAGTTGGGCGAGTGGCTCCAGCAGATCCCAGGAACAATAAATAAATAAATAAATAAATA